CACCTGAACATGTGATGGGGAGTGAAGTAGTCGAGCGTGTAAACCGCTTCACTTGTCTTGTTTGTCTCATCAGTGCTGATGGCCTGGTGACTAACGAATGCACGGATACAAAAGGCTCGATCGGCTTTTTCCTGCCTGCGTCACTTTTGGCGCAGCGAGATATCGGTCTACCAAACAAAGGATGAGTCTAATGCGCAGCAGTTTGCTCTGTCCTACTAAATGGATGCGAAACATGACTGGTAAGAGCAGAGGACATTCGTAGGTTATTATTAACCGATCACCGGTATCTTCTAAGCGTCGCTCGTGTATCATGGGACAACCAGGTAAGGAATACTATAGCTAGGAAACGAGTGCTAGGTAAGGACGGCAAATCAATAGACGAAGCATTGAAACTTCATCAGTTGAGGTGATTGGGACATGTGTTACAAATGACTAACAACCGAGTGCCTCAACGAGTCATATTAAATGACGTACGTGTAGGCTTGAAGAACGCTGGGGTGACCAAAACAAAGCATGGCGCAAATCCATTAATTCACTGACAACTTGACTGAGCCACGTTAGTAGATGTAAACTACCTCAATGGGGTCCGCAAGATGAGAGTAATTGAAGGTTAGATAAATTGAATACCATGACTTAAAATCGGTTGTGATGATGCAAGTTCATCCACTCGCGTTCCGTCAAATCCTAACTTTTTGAATTCTTGATCACCTTTATCTTTTTCTTTTCAGGTTAATTATACCAGATTCAACTTCTTGAATAATATCTTCGAACCCTAATCTCTCTGATTACTGCTGATACTTTAACTACTGCAACCATTATGGGATTTGAATTGACAATTATATCTCTGTACTAATGTGGTATAAAACTTGAACTGATATACATAGGTACGTACGTAAGTACGAATTTCCTTGTGGTCATTGGCTGACTGACTGCACACTACTTATGAGCCATGTCATAAGTAGCATCTATAACATCCGGTCACGTATGAAGACTTATGTAAGTAGTTAAAGTGCAGGTAATTTGAATGGATTCACTGTTGTCCGACATTCATTAGGACACGCACATACACACACACACCAGTATACACAACAGAAAGTCATCAACATTAACATAATTGGATTTTGTATCATCTAATAATGTGATTTGTTTGGCTGTTTTGATTTTGTTTGGGCAGAAAAGTCATTTTTTAATATCATTGTAATAAAAAATCCTCTTTATTTATTCATATAAAGTAGAAATGTTTATTTAGTTATTACGTATGCGATTTACCCTACCGTTTTGAAAATAGTTTTGATAAATACGAAGTGTACATAACCAATCATTCTATACAATCTGATAGAATAAACTATCATTCAGTCAGTTAGCTACGTTGTACTACTTAAATCAATCAAACAACAACAAAGTAGAACTCTATACGTATGTACGTACGTACATCAGTTCATGTGGTCATACCACATTAATACAAAGATGCAATGGTCAATTCAAATCCCATAATTGTAGAGGTAGTAAAGATAATAGCTGTAATCAGAGAGATTAGGATTAGAAGACATCATTCAAGACGTAGAATCTAGTGAAATAAACTTGAAAGAAAAAGATGATGAGGAACTCTGGAGGCTAGAATTTAAGAGAACACAAAGAATGAATGCACCTACGCCACCATGAAGGATTTTGAGCCATGTCATTCAACGTCTCTAACCATCGATTACCGTCATCTCGCGGACCCTAACCAGGTAGTCGACAATTACAGACATAACTAAGTCGGTAACTGTTCCAACCTATTCCTACACTACAAAACGAAGCTCATCGAGGCAGTAAGTGGTTGGGCATACGCAAGACATGTCACAACCACCTCAACTGATGAAGTTTCACCACTTCATTTATTGATCTGCAATTCTTACCTAGCACCCGTTTCCGAATAACAGCGTTGCTCACTCGGGTGTCCCACGATATACGAGCGATGCTTCGAAGACAAACAATCTACGAATGACCTCTACTCTTACCGGCCATGTTTCGCATCCATAAAGTAGGATGGAGCGAACTACGGCGCAGTACACTAGTCCTTTAGTCAGCAAACGGATATATCGCCTGTACCATGAGTGATGCAGGTTGGCAAAAGCCAATCGATTCTCCTGTATCCGCGCTAAGATTTCGTATGTTGGAATCCCATATTAATACAAAGAGATGGAATTATCGATTCGGATTTCAAAGTAGTAGACGTAGCAGAAGTATTGACAATTATGGAAGGAGATCAAGGTTCGAGGATAATGTTCAAGAGGTATAATCTAGTGAGAAAAATTCAAAAAGATTAAAATAGAGGTGATGAGGAATTCGGGATAGAACTTGGGGCGAAACAAACAATGGATGCCTCTGTGCAATCGCTAAAGATTTTCAGCCTTGTCATTCAAAGCCTATAACTATCGGTTACTATCACATCGCGGAACCCAATCAAGTAGTCTACACTTACAAGAAGGATTAGTCGTGAAGAGAAAAGAATTAAATAAGAGGTGATAGGAGTTAATTGCGAAAAAGTTGATCATGTCTACTGTTACAGGTATGAAAGCAAATATCACTTCCTGTTGTACAACACTGCAGAAGGGTGTTTCTGAAAAAAGCATGAAAAAAAGTAAGATTAGTGTTGGGGTTAGCGAAATGGGAACGTGACCGTAGGCGCTGGCGCATCTAATATTTATGATCTCTCAAATCCTAACCTTCAGAGTTCTTCAACACCTTCATTTTTCTCTTTTTAAGTTTACTTCACTGAATTATACTTGTTGAATAATTTCTTTAAACCTTAATCTTTAAGATTAATGCTAATATTTCTACTACCTCTACTACTATGGTATCTGAAGTGACAATTGCATCTCTGCACTAATGTGGTATGGCAACTTAATCTGATGTACGAACGTATGAAGTTCTATGTTGTTATTGACAGACTGATTGACATTATAGGTTAACTGAAAAAAGCTTCTACGCGAGCGAATACTTAAGTTCTAAGACCACTGAGCCGGCATACAAAGTGTTAATGTCTAACTCAGATCAATCCACGCCATTGTGTGAGTTGATCGATCGCCTTCCATGAGCATTGCTTCACGTTGATCACAACTTCTCAACTAGAACTCGGAGAAATTTCCTTATGATTTGATATGATTCGCGAAGTGCATTTCAGTGAGATAAATTTAGACAGAGAGAGACAGAGATGACGAGGAATTCTGGAGATAAGAATTTCTGAGAACACAAAGAGTGGAGGCACTTGCGCAATTGCAAACGATTTTGAGCCATGTTATTCAAGGTCTCTAACCATTAGTGACTTTCGTCTCGCGGACCATAACTAGGTAGCCTACATCTACAAATATAACTGAGTCCACTTGTCAGTGACTTCATGCATTTCTGCCATGTTTTGGTCTGACCGCCTCTTACTTTCTTCCAACCTAATCCTACATTGCAAAACATAGCTCGACGAAGTAGTCGGCGGCTGAGCATTCGTAATACATGTCCCAACCACCATAACAGATTACGTTTCATTACTTCATATAATAAACTGCCATCCTTAACTAGCACCCGTTTCCTGACAACAGCATTGCTTACTCGGTAGTCCCACAATACACGAACAATGCTTCGGAGACACCCATGATAGAAAAACAGTAGCCTACGAATAGCTCCTACTTTAACTGGCCATGATTCGCATCCATATAGTAGGATGGAGGAAACTGCTGCGCAGTAGACTCGTCCTTTGGGTAGCAAACCGATATCTCGCCTACGCCATAAGTGACGCAGGTTAGCGAATGCCAATCGATCATTCTGTATCTGTGCCGAGATATCATCAGTCACCAGGCCATCACCTCTGATGAGACTCCCAAGTTAAGTGAAGCTGTCTACACCCTCGACTACTTCACTCGCTATCACACGCTAGCCAATCCTGAAGCAACATTTTGCATTTAGAGAGGGAAAACCCCGTCTCGAACACGTTTGCATTGTTGCTTACGGTAGACAGAAGACTGCATGTTTTGTGGCGTCATCGTGTAAAAGAGGAATTGTACTGAGTGGAATACTGATTATCAGTACAACCCAGTACGCCAGTTTCATCCCATTTAGGACACATCGAATAGATATATATGCAACCGCAGAATTGATGTTCACCTCGGGACTCGAACCTAGCACTGTTTGCTTTAAACTCTATAGCGTTATACAGTCAGCTCTGGTAGAATATACAAGTTCTTACAATTACGAATAATTGCTTTATCAAACTGTCATCTCCGAACAAAGAATAAAGTAAATAGTAGTGGTATATGAGTGCTGAGTTACGTACCTAACCAATACGAAACTTCAGCCAATGTGTACTTAAATTTAGTGTTTACTTGCTGACACCTTGACACGTGATGGTCGGGCTTGACTATCGTGACGACCCAACCGAGCTATATTGGCTAGAACTAATATTCCTGAAGGTTCTACCATGCCAAGCAGGTTGATCGGAGAACGATGAGACTAAAAGCAGCTACTCAAGATCAGAGGGCAAAGTCGTATTGCTGAGTGACTTTAGTAAGGTGTCCCCTTTAGACAACTAGCATCTGCTGCATTCACACAAGAAAGGAAGGGATTAGAAATGGTTGAACCTAAAAATGTCCCACCTCATCCCACTTCAAGGATTTCCGTCTCTGGAGGGAACAAGAACGGAGCTAACACTTTGAATACTACCCATAAAAGGGCCGTGTGTGACCGGTCTCAAGCAGTTGTCCCTTGTTCTCTGTAGTCACGCTCCCAGGTCGTTAAGACCAAAACTAATATACTTTCCTTTCCAGGTTCCTCAAGAAACACCTTTCCACAGTGTTGATAACCGGGAAGTACTCTCTCATATAACTTAATTTTTAAAAGCTAAGTATGGTGATGTCATGTTTTCTGTGGTATATTTCACATCAATTCGAAACATCTCCATTTTATTATTGACTTACTAAGCATATCGACGATATTTTTGATAGATATTATCATGAAATACATTACCGAAATCATGATGAACATATTGTTTGGATTAACATGGAAGATATTTCAGGAATCGATATCAATGAATGACGATTATTGAATGAAGTCATTTGAACACCACCAACACATTCCGAATATAAATTATAATGATTTAATCCTTTTAATGAAGCTTCAGATAGTTGACTTATCTAAAAAAATAAACAGAAAAAAAGCACAACAACCAATAACAATACAATTTATTTGTAATGATCGTTTGACTGTTGACATTGACGTTGACCACTACAATTAATCAGAGTCTCGTGTGGATTACCTCAATATTGCACTGTAAGCAGAGATGGATGACAGTGGCTAGCCATGAGATTATAGGAAACACGTTTCCCCTTATTTGAGAGTTGATAACTGGATATGTACCTGCCAAATCTAAGATTTGATTTTCACCCCGAGACTTGAACCCAATACCGTCTAGTCAGTCAGTCAGTCACAACGTAGAATTTCGCTTCAAATTTCCGACAACTTTCTCAACTTCCTAAAGAGTCGGAGCAATTATATCGACTTGCCATTCAGGATGACTGGAGATCTTGGGCAACCGAAATGTGACTGAAGGCCAGTTGAACTGATCCCCAAAGTGTTCTGTCCATCGATCCTATCTCCTCGGTTGAGAATGAATCATGAAACCATCCTTTTCCGAGATAGTCTCACTCACGTTCGGATTCCTAATACCGGTTTCCTTGATAAGTCAGAACAACTGTCTGCTGTCGCCTATCGCCACTGCCTTTTTCATCGCTCTTGCTTTCGCTATCCACCATTGTTCGCGATCATTCAGTAGAATTTTTATCAGCCTAGTTTGGAGTAAAAGGTTTTCCGACAATCCTAAGTCGACTCGCTCCCA